AGTAAATAACAACATGAAGCAGATTATTATTATAGATCATACAGAGGAAAAAGGATAAAATATTTAACTGCAGCAGTGTTTGATTATATTCTGCACAGTGAGAAAACCTGAAGTCATTTTCAAGGTCCACCATTTCTTACTTCTTTTCAGTCAGGGCAAGTTTCTAAGCTTTCTAAATCTCCATTTTCCAACTAATGAAAAGAAAATAGAATTCCACCGAGTCTCCTATCTACCTACTCCAGGACTTCTTTAAGGATCAGATGAGATGAGGCACAGGAAAATGCTTCACAGACACTTGGTTAAAGTGTGAAATATTAATCCTCAACAAAATCTTAGCAAATCGGATCCAGCAGTACATCAGAAAGATCATACACCATGACCAAGTAGGATTTATCCCAGGGATGCAAGGATGGTACAATATCTGCAAATCAATAAATGTGATACATCACATAAACAAATTGGGGAAAAAAACACAGTCATATCTATTGATGCAGAAAAAGCATTTGACAAAATCCAACACCCATTTTTGATAAAAACTCTCAGCAAGGTGGGAATAGAAGGATCATACCACAACATAATAAAAGCCATATATGATAAACCCACAACCAACATCATACTTAATAGACAAAAACTAACACCATTTCCCCTAAGAACAGGAACAAGAAAGGGATGCCCACTCTCACCACTCCTGTTTGACATAGTACTGGAAGTATTAGCTATTGCAATTAGACAAGAAGAAGAAATAAAAGGCATCCAAATTGGAAAAGAAGAAGTGAAACTGTCCTTATTTGCAGATGACATGATATTATACATACAAAACCCTAAAGACTCCATCAAAAAACTATTAGACTTAATAAATGAATTCGGCAATGTAGCAGGATACAAAATTAACGCCAAGAAATCTATGGCATTTCTATACACCAATGGTGAACTTACAGAAATAGAGACTAAAAAAACAATCCCATTAACCATCGCACCAAAAAAAATTAAGCTACCTAGGAATAAACTTAACTAAAGAGGTAAAAGACCTCTACTCAGAAAACTACAGGACATTGAAAAAAGAGATAGAAGAAGACATAAACATATGGAAGAACATACCATGTTCTTGGATTGGTAGAATCAACATCATTAAAATGTCCATACTACCCAAAGCAATCTATAAATTCAACGCACTTCCCATTAAAATACCAATGGCATATTTCACAGACCTAGAACGAACTCTCCAAAAATTCATCTGGAATAAAAAAAGACCCGAATAGCTGCAGCAATCCTGAGAAAGAACAAAGTAGGTGGGATCTCAATACCAGATATCAAACTGTATTACAAAGCCACTGTTCTCAAAACTGCCTGGTACTGGCACAAGAACAGACATATAGATCAATAGAATAGAATAAAGAGCCCAGAAATCGGCCCGAACCAATATGCTCAATTAATATTTGACAAAGGAGGCAAGAACATATAATGGAGTCAAGATAGTCTCTTCAATAAATCGTGTTGGGAAAATTGGACAGATACATGCAAGAAAATGAAACTAGACCACCAACTTACACCACACACAAAAATAAACTCAAAATAGATAAAGGACTTAAATGTACGATGGGAAACCATAAAAATACTAGAAGAATCCAAAGGCAACAAAATCTCAGACATACGCCGAAGCAATTTCTTCACTGTACATCTCCTAGCAGGGGTCCTCAAACTACGGCCCATGGGCCACATGCGGCCTGCCAAAAACATTTATCCAGCCCACCGGGTGTTTTTGCAGCCACAGTGTGCATAGGAATTTGTTCATAGTTTTTTTTTAAACTATAATCTGGCCCTCCAATGGTCTGAGGGACAGTGAACTGGCACCCTGTTTAAAAAGTTTGAGGATCTCTGCTAGGGCATTGGAAACTAAAGAGAAAATAAACAAACGGGACTACATCAAAATAAAAAGCTTCTGCACAGCAAAAGAAACCATCAACAAAACAACAGGAAAGCCCACTGCATGGGAGAATATATTTGCCATTGATATCACCGATAAGGGTTTAATTTCCAACATTTATAGGGAACTCATACAACTTAACAAAAGGAAGATAAACAATCCAATCAAAAAATGGACAAAGGACCTAAATAGACACTTTTCAAAAGAGGACATTCAAAAAGCCAAAAGACATATGAAAACATGCTCAAAGTCACTAATCATCCGAGAGATGCAAATCAAAACAACCATGAGGTACCATCTCACACCTGTCAGAATGGCTATCATCAACAAATCAACAAACAACAAGTGCTGGAGAGGATGCAGAGAAAAAGGAACACTCATGCACTGCTGGTGGGAATGCAGACTGGTGAAGCCACTATGGAAGACAGTATGGAGTTTCCTCATAAAACTAAAAATGGAACTCCCATTTGGCCTCGTGATCCCACTTCTAGGAATATATCCCAAGAAAATAGAAACACCAATCAGAAAGGATATATGCACCCATATGTTCATAGCAGCACAATTCACCATAGCTAAGATCTGGAAACAGCCTAAGTGCCCATCAGCAGATGAATGGATTAGAAAACAGTGGTACATCTACATGATGGAATACTATGCTGCTATAAAAAAGAAGAAATTCTTACCATTTGCAACGGCATGGGTGGAACTGGAGAGCATTATGCTAAGTGAAATAAGCCAGTCAATGAAGGAAAAAGACCACATGATCTCACTCATTTATGGGTAATAAAGACCATTATAAACTGATGAACAAAAATTGATACAGAGGCAGAGCAGCCTCGAACAGACCGTCAAACTACAGCGGGAAGGCCAGGGAGGGTTGGGTGGCAGGAGTGGGGGAGTAAGAGAACAACCGAAGGACTTGTATGCGTGCATATAAGCATAACCAATGGACATAAGACACTGGGGGGTAGGGGAGGCCAGGGGATTGTCAAGGGTGGGGAAAAAAAAGGAGACATATGCAATACTCTTTGTAATACTTTAAGCAATAAAACAATAAAAAAATAAATAATAGCCGAAACTGGTTTGGCTCAGTGGATAGAGCGTCGGTCTGCGGACTGAAAGGTCCTGGGTTCGATTCCGGTCAAGGGCATGTACCTGGGTGGCGGGCGCATCCCCGGTGGGGGATGTGCAGGAGGCGGCTGGTCGATGTTTCTCTCTCATCGATGTTTCTGATTCTCTATCTCTCTCCCTTCCTCTCTGTAAAAAATCAATAAAATATATTTTAAATAAATAAATAAATAAATAAATAAATAAATAAATAAATAAATAAAGTGTGAAATATTTCCACCTGGCTATAAAGAAAGTCGTGTTCCTGGGCTGAAGAAACTGCAAGGAGGCTAGTTGTTTCTAGGGAGAGGAAGCCAGGCATTGCTACGTGATGTCATTACCCGGGGCCCACAGCCACTGTTTTGGGGCTGGGCTGGGTTCTGGGCCACATTTTGTACAATGGGATCTCCACAGCATTGGCTGGGACTTGGTGGGGTGTTGTTCAGGGGTGGCGGTGGGGCCTGTGTCCCACTTGGGAGAAGCTGAGTGTTGCTTTTTTGGCACCAGGTCCGTGATGCCATTTCTCTATAAATGGCCAATGCGCATCACAGCAGCTCCTGCATTGAGCATCTTCCCCCTGCTGGTCATAGTGACAGGAAGGATGGGCAGAGGGACACTTAGCATATTAGCCTTTTATATATCTAGACTAGAGGCCCACTGCATGAAATTCGTGCACAGGGGGAGGCCTGCACCCTCTCAAATCAGAGATCCCTCTCACAACCTGGAACCACTGGCTCCTAACTGCTCACCTGTCTGCCTGCCTGATTCCCCTAACTGCTCCCCTACTGACCTGATCCCCCTAACTGCCTAACTGTTCTCTCCTGCCAGCCTGATCCCCCTAACTGCCACCTTCTCCCTTTGCCCTTTTGCCTTCTCCCGTGGTGCCTTCTCCCACAGCCTCTGCAAAAGGGACTTCAGCGCTGGACCAACCCTCACAGCTGCTGTGGCCAGCCCTCAGCCCTTGCAGCCACTGTGGCTTTGTCTGGAAGGACGTCTGGAAGGTCTCCTGGCCTAATTAGCATATTACCCTTTTATTAGTATAGATATTTCTCAAACCAACAATGCAACGTAGCCATGATATCTATTTTACAAATGAGCTATAATAATTTTTTGTGAAGTTACAAATGTGTTTTCTCTTGAGATTCTTCTAATAATTTTTTTATTTGACACCTAATATGTGATTTGGGCTCAAATATAGGAGATGCAACTATAAGCAAGTGGACATTGTGCCTGCATTCAGGAAACATGTAATACTGTGGGAATATATAACAAAATATTGTAATCAAAGCTATCACAGGAGAAAAGTGAACCATGACCATCTAATAGAGACATCTAAATTGGAAACAGAATAAAAGGGAAGGCTACCTAAAAAAGGTGATATCTAAGTTAGACTCACAATAGAATTAGTGAAAAATAGAGTAAGGGGAAAATATTATAGGAAAACAGAAACAGAATGCACAAAGGTATAGTCAAGATTTAGTGTAAGAAAATGACATTAAAGCTAATTCAAAATGGCTGGAGCATACAACTCAAAATGGGCAACAGAAAACATAAAACTAGAACAATATGCAGACATCACTTTGCAAAAATAATTTTGAACCATTATAAGATGCTTGTACATTATTTTGAAGGCACTGATATGCACTAAAGTGATCTGAAGAAACAAATGGTATAATAAAATGTTAACTATTTTTCCCTTGATTTATCTTTTTCTCTGAATCCTAGAGTAATTCCGTACTCTAATACAGTATATTGATAGGCCTTTCCTTAAATCAAAAAAAAAAAAAAAAAGACATATATTGGATGGAAACTTATTCAAGAGCGCCCAAATTTTAATTATTTCTCAGCCTTGCCAGAGGAGGGCACTGTATTCTAGATGTACATGGTTCTCTGTAAAGGGTGAAAGTGCTGTGATGTCTCTGATTGGCTGTTCCCCTAAGTTTCAGTATTCTAGACACAACTGCAACAGACCTCGCTCTGAGCTCAAAGTAATTCTTGCTGAAGAAGCCCATTCAGAATCTGACACGGTCTGCTGGATTTGCTGGGGAGCCAAAGGATGGATACTCTCCCGAAAGTGCTTTTAGGCACTCTGTTGTGGCGATTGGCTTGTGAGTACCCGGTCAGCCTAGGAGAGGCTTAAATGGTGACAGCAGCCTGAGGGCAGAAATTGGGTTGTCTTTCTGACCTGGGGAGGGCTCTTATGAAAACCATACATATTCTATAATTATGTGGGGATGTTTATGTTTTGAGTAAGGAAGGAGGAAAGAAAATTGCCCTTCCTTTTGAGACCGAGCATCTCATGTGGGTTTCCTGTGTCCTTGAATTGTTTTTCTGATCAGGTGTGAGAAGCCAAGATATGCAACAGAGTCCTCAGTCCTTGATCACTCAAGAGGGTGGAGAGGTTACCATCGAGTGTAAATCCTCACAGCCTTTATATGCCTTGCACTGGTACTGGCAGAAGCATGGTGAAGGTCCCATCTTCTTGATGATATTAAGAAAACGTGGAGAAGAGAGTCATGACAAAATAACCGCCACATTGGATGAAAAAAAGCAGCACAGCTCCCTGTACATCACAGCTTCCCAGCCCAGTCACTCAGGCACCTACTTCTGTGCAGGAGCAGCACAGTGACGCTCAGGCCTCCGGAGGCTGTGCTCAAACCTGAAGCTGGGCCACAGATGCTTTCTTAGCACAGGGCACCCTTGGGGCACTTACCAGAAGGCTCACCTATGAAAAAAGAGAAATCTGAGGGAAATTCAATTGCTTTAATATAAAATGCAAAAAGTGGACCATCTTTTAAGTTCATATCTAATTTAACTTGTTTTTTATAATTATATAATTGCTGGGTAGGTACTTATGTAATTAAATCAAATAATTTCAGTTTCAAATACCAAAGTGAATTACGATATGACTTAAGCTACATATGTGAACTACTTTTGTGGATGTATTCCTGTCTAAAATTGAAAATAACTTCTATTTTTTCTGCTAGGTATCCGTAGTTTATGGTTAGGGAGCTAATGAAAAGAAATCAACAACAATAAAAATAAGTTTTCTGCATTGTTCACTTTTGGGTATCATGATTGAACTTGGTATACTGGAGGGCTCTCTAGTAATATTTTTTCCATGATCTTCAATATCTGTTTTATAGAAATGTAATTGAAAAGTACTTGCATTTTTAGACTGACTTTTCCTTTCCTTCTCACTGTACTTTATTCGGATTGATTTTCAGTTCTGTCTCGGGTACTCTGAGTTACCTACACAATACCTTTTCTTACCAGTTTGCCCAGATACGCTGTGGTCAATAACACTCCTCAGTTGTTCCCCTATGTCAAACCCAGCACAACACTGGCATGTATTGTAAGTGCTCAACAAATGTTTGTTTGTTTATTTTTAAGAATTTAGAACGGCAAAGAGCAAAATATGTTCTTTCTTTATTAGAGAAGTTAAAATTCACAAACGGAATTACAGTCATTGATCTTCATTACACAACCAAAAATTATTAGGAAAATATGACTCATAGTCAAGAAAAAAGCAAATAGAAACTGACTCTGGGATGGCTCAACTGATCTAATTTAGCAGGCAAACATTTTAAAGCACCTATAATAAATATGTGCAAAAACTAAATAAAATATATTTAAAATTTAGGAAAATATTTTCTTAATAAGTGAACAGAAATAAAATCTCAGCAAAGAAATTAAACCATAAATAAAAAGTGGAAATCTTAGAATTGAAGAGTGTAATGACTAAAAAATTCACTAATGTGCTCCAACAGAAGGTTGGGTATGGCAGAAGAGTCTGTCAATGAATAAAGGAACTGGTATAATCATAATATTTAATACTACTCAGCAACAAAAATAAACTGCTTTTTTCTCTATCAATATGGGTAAATTTCCAAACATTATCCTGAAAGAAAGAAACTAGACACACAAGAATGCCTACTAAATAATTTATATAGATGAGATTTCAGAAAAAGGCAAATCTAATCCATGGCAACAAAAATCAAGTTATGGTTGCCAGGGGTTAATTACTAGGAAGCTTATAAGGCAATAAAAATTGTATATCAATCTGTGTAGTGGTTACACAGGTATATGAATTTGTCAAACATTTTACATGTTATAGAACTTATGTTCAATAAAATGGATATAAAAATAAGGTAGATAAAATTGTTTAGGTTTTAGACCTCATGATAATCTGTAACACTTCTCTTAACTCCATAGTTAAGTAATTCTTCTGTTTTAATTTGGAATGAAAAAATAAAAGAAGGAGAAGCATAAGGTTAGGGAAGATAACAAGAAGTAGTACGTGGTAATCAAAGTTTATTCTCCTAAATTAGAAAGCTATTATATCCCATGTCTGCCATTTACTAGCTCTGTGATCTTAAGGAGGTTTCTGAGCCTCTATTTCTATCTCCCCTCTATAAAATAGGAAGGGAGGGGTAACAATTTCTCTCAAGATTCACCTTTTCCACAAGAGGAAAATTAAGTAAGATTATGTCCATGAAGTTCCTAGAACACGTTAAGTGCTCAGTGAATTGTAGGTAATATTTTTATTATTAATCATAAGTGTTCATTTCAAGAGGGCCTAAGTTCTCTAAATAAAATTGTGGGAGTGATCAACCTGGTATGGTGGTTCCAGAATTTCTTCTTTTAGTTGGGCAGCATGATGGACTGGAGGTGAGAGTAGAGAAAAAGGATCTTTTTCTCCTAATCCAACAGACTGGCTAATGACCTGGAATCATGGGACATAATATCTCATCATAGGCATGGTCTTTTATTATAGCTTAGTCCAGTGTAAATAACATTGAACAGAATGGAAATTTTATTTTGTCCTAGTGAAATGTTACCTAGATCATAACAAGAAGCCTAAATAAATCAGAAAAGAGAGTACACTTTAAAGGAGAGTGTTTGAGAACATGTATTCAGAGGGAAACAGGCCAAAAAAAAAGCATGCATGGATTCTAGTTTTACCATGAAATGTTGTGTGTAAGAATTTCTCTTTCCCATACAAGGATACAGAGCCTTACCTGCATTTTATTTAATGTATATTTTCTTCATTTGGGAAGGAAAACATAGGAATTGTTCTTTTAATGTAAATCTGAATCCGAGAATAAATTGACATGGGCAACATTTCTGGAGAATAATTGAGCACCCCCTATTAGGAGGAAAGACTATCGTAAACACATCTAGTGGTTCAACATAGTCTATGCAATTATAAGTAGGACATGGTTTAATGACTCATCCCACCCATCCCCACCAAACCAATTTTTTGTTCTGAGACAGCTGCATTGCCCATCTCCAACAATTCTAAGTGGAGCTTTACACAAAATTGAATAGTACTCATCCCAAGCCCAGAGCACACACTATTTTCTTAGAGATGGAGGTGCTAAAAAGACCTCTTTTCAGCATATTATGGGCACTGATGACCTCTATTTTCCTTGACAGGAACAGTTGCTGATAATGAGGCCTAGGACACACTAGGATTCAGGGGAGATGGTGAGGAGGGACACAGGGGACGCACAATGGCCAACTGTAACAAACATTCCAGGAAAATAAGAAAGAAGTAGAAAGAAACCGGATTTTGAGTCTTTCTTCCTTGACTTAAAATTTAACTGTAACTTGACAAGAAATTCTTGGCAACTTCCTCAAGGTGAGCTCTGGGGATCGATCTGGTTATTTCTTATGTCTATAGGATCTGGCATATCCCAGAAGGTCACTCAGTCCCATCCAACAACATCTAGGCAGGAGGATTAGACTGTGGAACCAAACTGTTTATATGACACCAGGGTTGTATATTATGTATTGTATTGGTACAAAGGCCTCCCAGTGGTGAGATGATTTTCCACATTTCTTAGCACAAAAATGCAGAAACCAATGCAACATAGGGTCAATATTCTGTGAACTTCCACAAAGCAACTAAATTTATCAAGTTCATCATACCACCATCCCAGCTAGAAGACACTACAACAGTGGTGCTCAACCTTCTGGCCCTTTAAATACAGTTCCTCATGTTGTGACCCAACCATAAAATTATTTTTGTTGCTACTTGATGACTGTAATGTTGCTACTGTTATGAATCATAATGTAAATATCTGATATGCAGGATGGTCTCAGGCGATCCCTGTGAAAGGGTCATTCTACCGCCAAAGGGGTCGCGACCCATAGGTTGAGAACTGCTGCTCTACAACATATTTCTGTTGTCTCAGAGAGTCCACTTAAAAAAAAATATGCCCTAACTGGTTTGGCTCAGTGGATAGAGCATTGGCCTGTGGACTCAAGGGTCCCAGGTTCAATTCTGGTCATAGGCATGTACCTTGGTTGTGGGCACATCCCCAGTAGGGAGTGTGCAGGAGGCAGCTGATCGATGTTTCTCTCTCATCGATGTTTTTAACTCTCTATCCCTCTCCATTCCTCTCTGTAAAAAATCAATAAAATATATTTTTTTTAAAAAAGAAAAAGATAGATGAGCCTCACAAACAAACAGAACTCAACCTGAGGCAATTGCTTATTGCCATATTCTAAAAGAAGAATTACAAGCCTTACCTAGACACTTCTTAGCAACTAGTTGTTGAAATGTGTAAGATAAGATCTAGAAAGGAAGCTGTTGAATTTATTCTAGGAAGAACTCCCTCACAGCTGGCTCAGAGACCACATAGGACCACATGTAAAAGCCATACTTTCAGATAACATCATAATTCTTCCCATGGAACAACATATGAGAGACAGTATTTGAACAATATGCTTGATTTATTCTAGATTTATATCTAGATTCTAGATAACTGCTCAACTCAATCTTTTGAGGTTACTGGACTCAATTTCAACATGTATGTGAAGGAATAGGGCAGCAGTTTTCCCCATACATGAAGTAATTCTTCAGACAACAGTTGGTGTCCTACAATTCAGCTCCATTCTGACATTATCTACCTGGAGATAGCATCAAATCCCATTGGTTTGGGGCTCAGTCCTACAATACTGCCTCCCACCCCACTTCAGATGCCAGTCCCAAGCCTAGATTGTTACCTGTGCTTCTGACCCATCAGCTACAAAGTGGAGGTTGCAACAATGCCCTTCAACTCAGGATGCCAATTGCTATGTCCAGATGGTTGCCTGAACTTCTAACCTACTAGAAATATAGAGCAATATTTCAAAATGATTACATATACAATCTACCAGGAAGCTAGGACAATACTATTTCTATATGCACTTAATAACATAGCTTCAAATTATATCAAAGATAAATCAGTAGAGTTAATCAATAGAATTTGTTCATTTATATAAAAATCAATAAACAAATATACAACCAGAGTAGTAGACATTAACACACTTTCTCAGTAGAAATGTAGAAAAAAATATGACTAACACAATTAATATTTTTTAACACTTTTTTAAAAAATATATTTTATTGATTTTTTACAGAGAGGAAGGGAGAGAGATAGTTAGAAACATCGATGAGAGAGAAACATCGATCAGCTGCCTCCTGCACATCTCCTACTGGGGATGTGCCCGCAACCCAGGTACATGCCCTTGACCAGAACCGAACCCAGGTCCCTTCAGTCCGCAGGCCGATGCTCTATCCACTGAGCCAAACCAGTCTCGGCACAATTAATATTTTTATCAAATTTACGTATGTATAACATTTTACCTCCCACCCCCACAAGAAAATAGAATACATACTCTTTTCTAATGCACATGGAATATGTATCAAAGTTGACTCTCTTCTCTATAAGAAGCCTTAATTGATTAAAACAAGCCTTAGTCAATTTTAAAGGATTTAAATCATTCAAAATATAGTCTCTGATCACAATAGTCTCAATCAAGAATTCAATAACAAAAGAGATAATTAAACTTCATATATCTTGCCAGATATATAATAGCCATTTTCAAATGTATTGCTACAGAAAATCATCTAAGCCAGCGGTTCTCAACCTGTGGATCGCGACCACTTTGGGGGTCGAATGACCCTTTCACAGGGGTTGCCTAAGACCATTGGAAAACACATATATAATTACATATTGTTTTTGTGATTAATCACTATGCTTTAATTATGTTCA